AATGAGGGATGGGTTTCACTAAGAACTCACAAACTGCAAGGAAGAATTAAAATACACTTATAACTAATTTAGCAGCAATGACCTATTTTAAAACTAGCAGGCTGGTTTTAATTCTGTTTGTTAGCTGTTTGGGGGAAGCGACACTAGTTATAGGTTATAGATTTGCCTCCTGGGCTTTGGGCGGCATCGGGGAGCATGGAGGGAACCACAGGCCGAGGCTCTGGCGGAGGCCAGACCTCTGGTCACACGGATGAAGCCAGCAAGGCTCTCCACCCCGCTGCCTCCTCAGTTGCCTGATTCATGACCTCTGTCTGATTCTGAGTACACCTCACCTTTTCTCTGCTTACTATGGGTGTCGCCACATATGTGTTTCTCTGTGGGTCTTTTTTCCCCCTTGGCCTCTATTTCTACCTCTTTGTTTTACGCCTGTCTTTCTACCTCTCTCAATCCCTGGTTTTGGTCAAGGCAATTAACTGGTCAAAAAAGAGCTGAATAATATACTTTCATGTATGTTTCATTCATTGTACAGAATTTTGCGTTTTCTGCCTTACACAAAAGCAGGCAGGTGGGTGGGGTGTTTCCTGTTCATCTGGAAAACAAATAGATAGTGGGTTTTCATATATATGACCCTTGATCGAGCCCCACCATGGCTCCTCCCCAAAACCCCAAAATTGGGGACCAGCATTAGAATAAAAGTCCCAGCCTAGAGCTCCTAGCCTAAAGCAAGAGAGGACCTGTGGCTGTTGCCCCATATGTGGGTAAGGGCAAGAAGCATGATGGCAGGGAGCATGCAAAGGTCAGGGGGTGCAGTCTGGGTGTATGGAATGGAGATCCCAGTTAGTAACCGCCCACTCACATGGCGCCAGGCCTTTCCATGACTTTCCAGCCCTTGCCTTGACCCTCCCTGAGTGAACTGCTCCCCCAGGCCCTGAGCTCACCTGGTATTGGACCCCTCCACACTTTTGCTCTCGCAGCTCCTTCTGTCTGGCATGCCTTGGCCACCCCAGACTCTGTTCACCTGGTCATCACCCGCTCATCCACTGAAGTCCTCCCTGATCCATGGAACCAGCTAGAATGGGCTCCTCCTTCATGGCCCACAGTGACCAGAGGTGGGGTCTCAGTCATCCTGGTTCTCTAGTGCCCAGCACAGTGCCTGGCACATGATAGGTATTCAATCAACATACGTTAGTAAAAGGAAGTGGGATCCCACACAAAAAGTATATAACCTTCTGTCTCCCACTGCAGCAGAAGGATATCCCAGTGGTTAAACCTGGCCCTAACTCTGAGGTTCCCTCCCAGATATGCTCTCCTGCCTGTGGGCCTACCCCCACGCGCCCTGCACACCCACATCCCACCCGTTCTCCGAGGTTCCCTCCCCCACGAAGCCTTCTGATTCCCCACCACTGGTACTAAGACACTTGCCCCTCACAGGAGCAACCAGCTACCTGGTCCGTTGTTACCTTATTTGGATCTCTCTTACGGCTGTTTCCACCCTCCCATGTTAGGCACAAACAAGACCGTCGCCCCATAACCCACACAGTGAGCCAGCCCCCGGAGGGTGGAACCTTCACAACGACCAGACCAGACGGAATGATTAAGTGAAGGCGTCCCTGCCATCTCTTGGGAGGAGAAAAAGCCAGAACTGACAGTCCTCCGGGTGGACGGGAAGGGGGGTGGAGAATCAGGGCCCAGCCTCCCCGTGTGGCGACGCGGTGCTGGGTGCAGGCGCTCACTCAATCCCCAGCAACACGGGATCAAAACGTTACACTACCTTGTTGGCCAGTGGGTCTCTCGGTCCATCTTCGCCTTTCCCAACACTTAGCTCTGACTGCTTGCAATTAGTATCTGAGAGGCAATCTAAAAGAGTCAAGCTGCATTATGGAGAACCCCAGAACAACTGCAGGGCACAGCTCACCTCGTGGAGAGTGGCTCAAATGGCAAAGGCTGGCTCCTTCACCTACTCAGCTGGGCCTTACCAAGGAAATAAGATCAAGAAAGTGGTGTTCGTCTTTAGCATTTATTTATAATCGGAAAAAAACCGTTTGTTTGTTTGTTTGTTTCTGAGCAAGCACAGACCACAAGCACGTCACAATCAATTGGCTATACATGAATATTTTTTGTCATTTTCTTACTAACAGCAGGAATGGAATAGCACCAAGAGAGGTGTGCGTTACACGTTACATAGACAATCTGTGGTATGCAACAAAACCCAGGCCACAAAATCGTAATTAGACACTTCCTGTCTGCCTTGGAGAGGCAAAAGTATAATGGACAGGTTGGAAGCACCAGCAGATAAGGAAAAACTTGGAGGAGCCAGCGCACAGCCTTAGGCATTGTTTTTGCAGGCAAGCAAAGCAGGCAGTGGGAACGCTTCGGGCCTTGCTCTCTTGCCAGGGGAGTTGGGGAATCGGCAGGGAGATATACAAAAGTGGACAGACAGGCATCGGAAGCTCGGTCATCTTCAGAAAGGCAAAACCAAAATACTGTTTGTGAAACCAGTGTCAGTTTCAACCAGTATGTTTGGGATACAGAATGAGATTGGCTGAGTTTTATTTGTAAACAGTAGAAATCAAAGGAAGTTTCTGGCCGTGAAGGGACACATTCAAGAGTCAAAGTGAACTACAAACAGGGTTTTCTCAATCCTGGAGTTAAAAAGACAGCGGCGGGGGAGGTGGGGGGCGGGTAGGGGGCGGAGGGGGCTGAAGGGCTGAAAAGACACGATACAGGTTGCATCTAAAGCCGTAGGTGGGGCAGGGTAGGAAATTCAGTCCCCGGGGCTGCAAAGTGGGTGGGAAGCTACAATTTGGGCAAAGAAACTCGCATCAGGCACCGAGATCACATCATATGGTTGTGCTGCTGTGGAGACAGATTTATGTAGAGTAGCCAGGGTGCCTAACACGATGCCTGGCTCACAGGCGTTCAGGACGAGAACGTGGAATGAACGTTCCTCTGTGCATCGTAAAGTCTGACTTACTTGATTTGTAAAACACATATGACAGTTCTCTGGAGAAATTCAAATTGTGGCTAACATTGACACGCCTGACGAATGCCAGATCTTGAGCGAACGAACACACGTTGGCAAAATTCTCTGGGTCAAGTTACGATCACGCTGCTAGAGCTCTCCGGTTAATGTTAAGATTAGCTAGCAGATAGCTAGAATCAACACTGAGATCTGCTCTGGTCATTTCCAGACAGGCTTCCAAATCTGTGATGCGTGAACATTGAAACTCGCTAACGGTCTCTACCTTCTTCAAAACATCTCAGTTCCACGCCCTGAGATAGAAAGGAAGGTGACGGTGGGCCCGGCCGAGCGCTTCATTTCTAAGAATCCTGTTCTCTTAACAAATGCGGCCCACACAGCACACACTTGACGTATTTGTGAAAGACGTCTCAGCCAGCCCAAGTGCCCGACAAGATGGGGTAAACAGTGACTCTGCTGCTTGAATGGTCAGAACTGGAGAGGACTGGGGGAGGCCCCGCTTCCTCCACACCACACGGACTGAAAGGGATTGACGCGGCCCCGCTCTCCACCGCCACCGCCGTCCTTACACAGCAGCGGCTGGGCACCGGACAAAGGCCCAGCCGTGTCGCGGTGCCGGCGACGGTCAGGATTTCAAGGACGGGAGAAAGAAAGTGTACCGAGCGATGTACACGTCGCAAGGTTTGGGGATGCAATTTTTCCGGTAGGTATTTTGGGTTCCCCCGTGAGCACTGGGGGTCTTTTCACAACTCTCTGACTAATGCCTATGATACAACTCTAGCACAACTAAGGTGCCACTTGCCACCCCACTGGGGGGGCGTTGGCCACACAGACACGCAAAACACGATACGGTGAGAGCTGCTTTCATTCATCAGTGAGGTTAAAATGCTTGCTAATCACTTACTAGGGAACTCTCCTAATCTTCAGCTAAGTCACAGAAATTTCCTCTAACCCGAAGCTCAGCAGCCTCTGTCCTCTCCGAGGAACAGAGCAAACACGGGTTTGGGAAGGGAGAGTGAACATCACCACACGTGTCACTACGTCTACTTCCAACCTTTTGTTTCTCAGAAGCAAGGAAGCCACACTCTAAACACACTACCCTACACCCTGAACTTCCTTCCTCAGTCATCTGTAACCAGTTGCTCTGCAAAATTGGTAACACTGGATAGGCTGAGGGTAAATGGGGGAGAATACTCCCCTCTCAATTTCTTCATCTTCCTGTGATGTCTAGAATGTACCTAAAACACCTAACCTTTTCACCCTGGCCTGGTCTGAGTCATCAGTGGCGTATCTATTACTTGGCATCCAACGGAAAGCCCACTGATAGGAAACTAAATGGAGTCGCGCGTTTCTAACAGAAAATTCTATGAAAAGAGTTACTTAAACTTAACAGACACAATTCATTGTACGGACGTTAAGGCCGAGGTTTTTTTGCTTTTTAAATCTGGCCACAAACGTTGTCCATCGCTGAAGCCCAAGTTGAGCTTCTAAAGCACATGATAACCCTCTGAAGTTTGGAAAAGAACACATTCACCTCAAGTTCAGAACCGATCGCTGACACGGGCCTTGGGGGAGAACAGGGGGAGGACACCCTACAGGCATTCCCAAGTGTGGCCAGAAGACGTCCAGGCACTCGGAACTGCCTCTGCATGCTAAGGCCTGCCTGCCCCCCTCACCAGCGAGCGCTCTCACTTGCCGTGGGAGGCACAACCAGTGAGCAGCGCTTCCCGGGGTCCCTGGTGTTCCGGGGGCCCCCCGCGGCGCGGACACCCGCGCTGCACTCAGCCCGGCCCATCTAGATTTGGAGAGGAGGCATGCCGCGAGGTCTTTGAAACGGCATCCCTCCACTGAAAGAAACCAAACCAAAGAGCTCCCGGAACACTCGGGACCAAGGCAGATGAGAAGCCTCTAACCAATTTTGTGGCCTTTTTTGTTGGTTGGTTAAAAAAGGAAAAAAAAAAAAAAAAAAAAAAAAAAAAAAAAGGAAAGAAGGGTAAAAGGAAAGTGCAGTGAAATTTACTCTTTAGCCTCAGCCAGTTTATTGTTCATCTCTTTACTTTGCTCCTTGTCGTCAGGCTGGGCGGCACTGGCACCCTCTGTGCTCTTTTTCTTGGAAGCCCGGCCCGACACCACCTGCTTGTCTTTGGCCTTCCGCGGGGGCTTATGGCTTGCTGAGGTCTTTTTTGGTTTGGAACTCTGAATGCTAGGTTTTTCCACCTGCTCGGAGAGACAGACAGACAGACCGCAAATACAGAAACACAAAAGGGGAGGGAGCGAGAGAGAGAAGTTAGAGAGAAGACACGATTAGCCAAACAGTAACTCTAACGACAATACTGGGCGTTGAGGGAGCGCAGGGCAGAAGGTATTTTCAGTGGCGGTAAGTCATTTGGCTTCTCCCGCGTAAACCGGCTGGTCAGTGGCTTTGGCCACACGCTCAGTGGCTCTCCGGCATGGTGGCTGTCACCACTGAACCACACTGGTGGTGGATGATGTTACTGTTTTGCAACATCTGCTGCCGTCCCTCCCTAAGGGAAGATTATACCTCGTCACCCTGTTCAACTCAGGCAGGCCTATGATTTGCTTCCGTCAATGACATGTGAGCACAAGTGATGTGGGTCACCTCCAACAGAAACCGGAGGGGCAGCCCGTGCTTCCCAATGCTCTCTTCTCTGCCACGAGCGAGGCTCTCCAACACCAGAGGCCCAGACTGCAGAGGTGGTGGGGAGTAGGGCTGTGGCCCAGCCGTGGTGGACGGGTATTAATAAGAAGTGAACCTTAGCTGATAGAAGACGCAGAGATTCTGGCATAAGCCAGCCTCTCCTCTGCTTCTGTCTCCAGGGCGGCCAGCTCATGTGGAGAAACCACATCTCATCTCAGCGAGGCCTTCAGCATAGCACTCTTCCTCTCCTGCTGGCTCCCCAGACTATTCTCCCCAGAGCCGCCATTCCGGCCCATTCGCTCTACCCGAAACCCTTCCTCTAGCTCTGACCCCACTCCCGGGCGATGGCCTGGCCCTCTTTTACCCCCAGAACTCTGGGCCCGCTCTGTCTGGTCCCTCCATATGCCCTCCACCTCTGGGTTCCCTATGCCCCAATCTTCCCTCCTTCCTCCCCTTTGAGTCTTCTTTGGTGCAAAGCCAGCCCTATGTCCTGGGCCCCACGTTGTCTATGGATGATGGACAGAGATGATGTGGGGGTTCACAGGCTAGGTCATTTCCTCAGTGAGGTCCACGGAACCTGCACAGAATGTAACCAACCATCCTGGTTTGCCTGGGACTGAGGGCCTTCATGGAATGTGGAACTTTCACTGCTACAGCTGGAGGAGTCCAGGCAGACTGGGTTGATCAGCTACTTTACCTACAAATCAGTCCTGGGCCACATAGGAAACTCTGTTTCAGTGCGAGACTTTCAGACAAAAGCAGAGGAAAGGATCTCACACTTGTCCTGCTATTATAGATAGGGGAGCAGGTATTTGCACGATTCCACGTGGCTTGATAGCACAGAACCAGCTCTGGCAAATCGGATTCCTGCTTCCAGCTGTGTCTCCAACTTGGCTCTCCCCCTCAGGGGTGTGCACTGGATGCAAATAAGGCAAAGTCGTGTTATTACACGGAAACCCCTGAATCCACTGCAAGTTACTTGGAATTGTAAATCACTTGCAAACTGTTTATTATAGTAACAAATTACCCGGAACACATCTTGCAGCTGATGTGACAGCTGTGCCTTGACTAAGAACTGGCGCTGGATAGTGTTTACGGAGGAAAAGGATGAAGAGGAGTGAGGAAGCGTCCAGGGACTGGAGCGGAGGATGTGGCGGGGGGCAGGGCGGGGAGGAAGCCAGGAGAGATACCTCTAATGGCCAGCTCTTCGGGGGCAAAAGCCCCTGAAGGGATTTTTAAGACAGGGAGGGCTTTAGGGCTCAGGTGGGATTTTTCGGCCACTTTTTTGGAGCGGGGTGCTTCTCAAAAGCCGAAGCTGGTTCTCTGGAAACCTGCCAGTCTTCAAGCTGTTTTACTTTAGGCACTGTTCCTTTGAACATTCCCTTTGAATTTAGCAAAGGTTCCTTAGTGCCTGTGTGCTACAGAGAAGAGGAGGGGTTTTCCAGGAGCCCTTAGGGACTGGGCCAGGGTCTGCAGGAGCCCTGCCCTCACGCTCTGCTGCAATGAGCCCCTCCGTTCTAGGTTGTGCTCAGGGGTTCCCCCACAAGATCTGTCTCACCTTTGGGGGTTCCTTGAAAGGTTCACTGTAGAGGCTGCGTATTCTTCTGCGATCAATCACCTTATTGTCGGCTGGCGTTGGCTTATTGGCCTCCCCTTTGAACTGGGCGCTGTAGCTGGTCTCATGAGCCATCTTGTCATCTGGAGGCTTATACTGGGGCTTGGCCTTTATTGGTTTCACAGGCTTGATGTCCGTCCATGCTCGGAATTCATTTCTGTGAATCAAAGAAAGCATAAGTGACATTAAACATTATCTGCCGGGAAGCAGGGCTCCCCGTCCGGGGCTGCAAACACCACGAGCTCTCGATTAGTGCTTGTGGGGCAGACGGAGGTGTGGCTGAGCGGTTAAAGTCACCCTTTGCTCACAGGCAAGTGCGCGTTTTCCTCCCTGTCAAGTTAATGCGGGCTGGGGGAACGGCCATTGTGGGAAGAAGGAGCTCAGGTTCCCAGCCACCACTGTGTGATCAGGGACAGGCAGTTGTAATCTTTGGGCCCCGTTTTTGCAACATCCAAAATGAGTCTAAAAGCACGCAATCCATTCAGTCACGCATGGGCTTAACTATATGATTGCATGCCTGCTGTGTGTGAGGTCAAGAACATGAAAATGAGACAATGTGGCCAAGGCCGCGTGCCAGTTCCCTTCCCTGCCTTGTCATGAGGGAGATCTTTTGTTAGCCAGAGCCCTCAAGGATAATTCCTCCCCTTGAGAGCAGGGGGCTCACTTCTTATATTGCCAGAAATGTAATAATCTTAATCACTGTGGATGAAAATACTTATGGAATGTCTAAATGCTTGCAGATCACAAATAAACAATGCACTGAGCATACTTCGGATGTCACTGTTAGGGCTCGTGTTGGGGTGTGTGTGTGCGGGAGAGTCTTCACGTGCTCCGGTGTGAATGGCTATTGGCCCTGACCCTATGATGACCACCATCCGAGTCAGTGTGGACGTGGACTGATTTTCTTACTTTTTCTGTGAGGATCCTGTGGATTCGAATCAGTTATTTCTCATCTGTTATAGGGCTGGAGACTAGCTGGGGACAACGTCCAAAAACAGGGTAAAACACATGCTGCTGTTGGAGGCCACAGGGTCCCTCTGGTCTGTTGAGTGCGTGACATTTGTTGGGTCTGTTCTCATCTGGGGCCGTGAGAAGCTGTGTTGTAGGAGAGGAAGGGTTGGGGTGTGAATATCTGTGGTTAGGTTCTTGCAGCTCCCTCCTCACCCTCACTGATAATGCCCTGCTTCGGGGCTCAGAGATGGGCAGCACAAACAGGAGGCCACAGGGGATGGCAGAAAGAGCTGAGACTATGGTGAAGACACATGGGTCCTAGCACCGCCTCTAAAGAGCGGCAGAGCCGGCTTCTCCCCTCTCTGAGCCTTAGTTCCCTCACTTGTCAAGAAAAGACTCAGTCCAGACAATGTCTTTATGATGTCCTCCAAGCTCGGAGGCTCCCTGAGTCCATAAAGCAGGTTTGGGAACACTGAGCCATTTGCTGGCCATTGGACCTCCTGAGGGGAATTGGCTCGTTTGTGAGCTGAGGTTCTTAAGAGACCCTCCCCCAAGCTTCAGACTCGCCTTTCCACCGTAGCTGGGAGCCCCACCTGGAGGCCCCACCAACTCAGACTCAACCCAAACCATCTTGTCTCCTCTGCCAAATTGTCTCCTTCATTCCCTCATCGGTCGATTTCCTTCTCTCATTCATTCACTCATTCACAAAACATTTACTGACTGCCCAGGGTCTGTCTGACAAGACGCTGAGCTCTGTGGAGGCCAAACTGTGTTAAGAACAGGCTCTGGGCTCGAGATGTGGGAGGCAGAGGGAGTGAGGTTACTCCAGGACAATAAGAAAAGAGCCATGAAAGGGGGGAAGTGGTGAGCTTCACCTAGGCCGGCCTGGGAGGGAGTCGGGGATGTTGGTTCTGGAGCGGAATCAGAGACGGGGCAGGGAGCCAGCCAGGGTTCTGGGCAGAACGAGGGGTACACAAAGAGGCTGCTGAGACACGGTCCTCTATGGGGACCTGCAGGCAGTTCGGGTGGTTGAGTTGAAGCTTGTGGGGAAGAGCACAAGAGGCTGGACAGATCCTGAGGTCCTGCCAGCCATGCTGAGGGGATGGTCTGGACTGTAACAAGAAATTGCCAAATGACTCCAAGCCAAAGATGAATGTGGCCAGATCAGTCTGGGGAGAGAGAACTCTGGCAGCAGTGTGAATGGCAGACAGACGGGGAGAGGGGAGTCGGGAGGCCAGGCGGGAGACTGTGCAGTGAGCCAGGAGGAAAGCCGAGCCCTGAACCAGGACAGTGGCAGTGGGGACAGAGAGTGGCTCTGGGCCAAGAGGGAAATGGGCGGGACTTGAGAGTGGCTGAGCTGTGGGAGGCCAGGGTCAGAGAGGAACCTGGAGACTCCAGGATTTTGGTCTGTGGGTGGCAGGTGCCGCCCACTGAGACGGAGAACGTGGGAGGAGAAGGGGACTTGGAAGGTTGAGACCCGCCTGACTGTGTTGATGGCACCCATCTGGTCCGGCATCAAGGCTGCTTTATCTCCTTTTCTGTCCTCTCCTCCTCCCTTTTACACCTCCATTGGCTCAACCAGTTACTATGACCTGACTTCTGAGCCATTCTGGCTCTCCACACCGGCCTAGAGCTGGCCCCGGGTCACAGTGGGGGGCATGGCCACCCAGGACCTGTCTAAGGCTCCAGGCTGTCCCTCCTTCCTCCCAGCCTTCAGAACTCAAGAACCACCAAAGCCCCTCATACAAGGCTCACAAGTAACAACCCGGTTCCTGAATACATGATGGCAGGACCCGGAGTTCTCCACTCTTGCCCCTGCCTGCTTCCAGAATTAGGACTGTGATAGGTACACGCTGGCCCTAAAAACAGTTTCCGGATCATTTCTCCCAGGCCAGCCTCTGCAGCTTTCTGTACCTCTGCAGTGGCCCCTGTGGGCCGGCAAGTGTCTCACTGCGAGCATTATCCATGGGATACGTCCTCGTGGGACGTATCCTGACCTTAAATAACTAATAACCCTGACCTTAAATAACTAATCTTCCCATGAGGCCGTGTTGGTTAAGTCTTATGATAAGTTTACCGTGATTACGATCGACTGTTAGGTTGAAGCCCAAATTCTGTTACTCAGAACTTTCGTTGAACTCTCCACAAAACTTTCCCCAGCCACGTGGAATAAGTAATCATATGTCATGAAAACAGAATTAGCTACCGTTCATTAGTCACCTCTCATAAGCTGGAGGGTGCTTTTGGTCTGGTTTTGGTATTTTTCTCTATAACCCTTACAACAACTTTGAGAGAAGGTGGTTTTAGATCTCTAATACTACCAAAAGAAGGTAACCAAGGCTCAGAGAGGTTATGTGGCTCGCATAAGAGCAAACGGCTGGCAGATAAGCAGAGTTGAAGTGCGAGCCCACGTCAGTCAGCTTCCACAGGCCACATCCTTCCGACGGCACTCGGGCAACGGGCTAGAGCTGCACGGTGTTTGGCCTGTTCTCACTGGAGGTGCTCGTGCGGGCTCAGGCCTGATGTCTGCAGTGCCGTGGAGAGTTTATGTGACACACCCGAGCTCCTCCAGCCCTGAGCTGCCCCTCCCAGAGCACAATGGGCCACATTCTCAGGTCAGTCATGTCCAGAGCCTCTTGCCACAAGTTTACGGGCCCCTGTAACCATGGACTCCCCTGTCTGTGCAGCCAGATTTCAGCTTGATCATCCGTCCATTCATTCATTCACTCATTCAGCATGGGTGTGGCCTGTGGCCCACAGGGAGGAGTAAGCCCTGGTTGAGACAGCCACGGTTTACTAGGTCAGGATCTGTCCATGTGTGACCCAAAGCAAATGGGACAGAGGGAAAGAGGGAAAAGGATGCTTAATTCTGAAGGGGGCACTGAAGGGTGTAGACAGAGAAGCGGACAAAAGGAATTCAGGCAGCAGTCTGAGTCTGTGTGGCAGGTTCAGAGAGCAGGTGAGCTGCTCGGTGTGAAGAGTGAGGTTCTCGGAAGGATGTCAAGGTGACCGGGCCGGTAGGAGTTGCGGCCAGGCTTACAGAGCCTGGAATGCCACGTTTAGATGCTTGAGCTAGGCCTGGGGAGCCGCCAAACGTTTCTGAGTGAGGCAGCCTATCGCTCCAAATTGCTGATGCCCTCCTCTCAGACTGCCCCTGTATTAATTATTCGTCAAGGCCCTGCTCTGGGCTCTCCTCTTCCAGGAGCCCCTCCTGGATTTCTCAGCCCAAAGTTTCCTCTCTCTCAGCTCCTGGACACTTTACTACATTGTCCAACTTTGTGGTTACCTATGCAGTTTCATGTTATTTTAATGATTTCATGAGTTTATTTTACCTCTTTTGAGGAATAAGATATGTAACAGAAAATTCTTGATGGAACCCTACTTTTGAGTCCAACCTCATTTGCATGGCTGCAAAGGGATGTCCTTCAACTTATCCTATGTCCAACTGCAGGTTAGGGGCAGACCCCATCTGTCTAGGGAGGACCGCATCTGTCTCCCCCTGCCCCGCCAGGGCCCTTCTCTCACTCAGGCTCCCACTCAGAGCCCTGCTCCATATCGTTCTCCCATCCTTCACAGGATTTAAGGGCTTGGCATCGGGTGAATATTTAATGGAAGTGGCTATTATTTGATTTCACTTCTGGTCAGCTTACGGCCCCTCTCCTGAACCCTTCCCTCCCTGTCCAGACGGGGCAGACACTTGCTCCTGGGAGGCGGGAAAATGTCCTGCCTGTACTCGTGTTCCAGTGCCCATCATGCTGAAATGATGTGCTCGCAAGCACCTGACCCGGGCGGAGTCCCTCTTCATCAGGGACAGGGCTGCGTTTATCTGTGTTTCCCTGGTGCCCCACACAGCACAGAGCGATACCCTCAGGATGTATTTGGAGAATTAAAGGAAACCAAGCGTTCCATTCTACTTCAGGTACTCACAAAGCTGCTCACACTTGGGGCTTCTATTATTGCTAAAACCCACACACCCCACATCCTTAAGTCCTTGTAGGGAAGAGTTGCCCTTACGAAAGCAAGCATTTGGTGCCTCCTAAGCTTTCATAAAATCCATCCTCCCTAGATTGACAGGAGGCAGCTCAGAGCCCCTGGTGAGTGAAGCTGCCATAGTGGTAAAGGGCTGGGGGAAGGAAGGAGCCCCTCAGAATCAGGGGGCAGGAAAGGGGAGGAAAAGTTTGCTAACACTTGCCTGACACCTACTTC